AAAAGCAATGATACATTAGCTAAAATTAGCAGTACATTAGCTAAAAGCAGCAATCTACTAGCTAAAAGCAGCAATCTACTAGCCAAAATTAGCAGTACACTTGCTAAAAGCAACGATACATAAGCTAAAATTAGCAGTACATTAGCTAAAAATAGCAGTACACTAGCTAAAAGCAACGATACATTACCTAAAATTAGCAGTACATTAGCTAAAAGCAGCAGTACACTAGCTAAAAAATTGCAAACACTTGCTAAAAGCGAAGAGTTGCAGCGCACTAGCTAAAAGCCAGAAGATTCAGAACAATAGGTTAAAAGCTAAAATAAGCAGAATGCTAACTAAATGAAGCAGTGCACTAACTAAAAGTTAAAAATAGCAGAACATTAGCTAAAAAGTTGCGCGACGGCTCAGTGGTTAGCACAGTTGCCTCATGGCAAGAAGGTCCTGGGTTCAATCCCTGGTTGGACCTGGGGTCTTTCTGTGTGGAGTTTGCATGTTCTTCTCATGCTTGCCTGGGTTTTCTCCGGGTACTCCAGTTTCCTCCCACAGACCAAAACATGCATGTTCGACTTCCTTCAGATCTGTGATCTCAGTGGGATTTGCCTGGTTAAATAAAGGTTAATAATAAATACCAATAGTAGCTGAACACGGGCTTAAAAGCTAATGGAAGAAGAACCCTATCACAGTAGAACACTGGCTAAAAATAACAAAACATTAGCTAAAGCTATAAATAGTTGAAAGTAGCTAAAGGCTCTCTAGAAATTGCAGAACAGTAGCTAAAAGCTAAAAGTAGCGTAATAAATCAAGAAAAGCCAGTTTGCATTCTCTGTTGTTTGAGGAACAATGTTTTTGAAGGAATAAAGGTCGACGTAGTTCTGTGGAGAGATATTGTTAAATCTATATATATTTTTAAATATGAAAGTCACAAAGTCTATAGAAACATTACAAAATTAAGCTTAAAAAAATGCAAATTGTCTGGCGCCTTTCATGCCACAGTTTTAGACTAAGATCATCTTGTCTTGACGAGTTCAGTCGTCGTCATTTTGATCCAAACTTGACAGCTGATCATTTTCAAGCGGCTAAACGAATGGCCGAATGCAACGGTTTTAATAGCTGTCGTTTCGGCAGTGTTTGTTTTCCTTCGGTGGAGCTCCGCTTCTGCAGCTGCTGTCTAAATATTGACTCGGACGTCAGGCAGACGTGGTAATCCGTTAAATAATCTGAACTGGCTGCTCGTTTCCACAGCCTCTGCCTCACCGCTCCACACGGAGCTGCACACGAACAGAAATGGGTCACAGCTTCTCAAAGTTCGTTTTACAGACGTGACTTTGAGGACATTAAATACACGAGTGACGTGTGGTTCAGAGTAAAGTATTTAATTTTAGGAAAAATGTCCTCAGCTCTGAACTTACTGTGGAAATTTGATTCAAATTACTAAAAAATCCACGTGGGCCTTTGAGAGGCCTACATGGATGTTTTTAAAAAACATAATTTCTTGAATGTTTTGTCTTGCAGTTATACGTGGGAGGCTGTAGATCAGGATAACAAAGTGAAATATGCGCTGAAGCTCTGCGAGTCTTCGCCGGCGACCGGCTGTGGGGCCGGTGTTGCGGTTTGTGCTCAGAACCTCAGCAGCGGAGTGGACCAGTCTGTCGGTGAGTGACCGATGCTGTCGAGCTAAATCAGGTGTGCTGCATGAAAAATTGAAGAAGCTCGAGTTAAACTGGGTTGAAGCTTCAGGACGAGCGCTGCGTCACGACGGGAAGGATGAAACTTGATTTGTGCTGAAACGTTCTTCCTGACGCTGACGGACGATTTTAAACTCTTCAGAACTGAAAGCTCGAGCTGCACGACTCGAGCCACGTGAAGTTGTTGGGGGTGGGATTAAAATCTACTTTTAAATGAATTTGTGGTGCCGCTTTAACGCAGTCAGTAGCGTTGTAGCTGCGCGAGGCAGTTTGTCCCAGTAGAGTTACCGTAGCTTCCTGTTCTAGAAACATGCCGCAGTAAATCTACCGGTAATTTATTTGCATATAATTTTACAATATTATTTCTGAACCTTTAAGAATATATGTCTAAATATTAGCTGACGTTGTCATAATGTATAAAATGTTTGATTTGTGTATTAATTCCCAGAGATAAATGCAATGCTAATCATGTTAGCTTTTCTATGGCGTTTTCAATGTTAAGTTAGTATCTGCTAATTGTCTGCCAGCAGCATGTGATGAATGTTTTCTTTTACATGTTTTTAGAGTTATTTGAGTATCTTGATCAGATAGAAAGGAGCTATAGAAGTGCAGTCCACATTTAAAGTGTTTATGCTCTGAAACATGTAACACATGACGACTCGTGATGTGGCGTTCAGGAGTCACGTGACCGTTTGTTTACACAAACAATGAAGCTCATCTCCTGCTGGAAACACGACCCTCTGTGGGGTTTCTCTGAATCAGAAGGGTTTTCAGAGCTCAGACTCAAAGACACTTTTTAATAAGGTGCATTTTTCACTAATGTTGTTTAATAAATAAAAAAAAAACATGAGGTAAAATTCTAACAAAGTTAAGTCGGGTCCTCTCTGGACGGTTTCTTTGTTGAACCGTTTCGTCTTTCATCCAAAAGACTTCTTCAGTCCGTGGAGCCACAACTAACTCAGTCTTATAAATAGCTCTTTCACAAATGCAATATTTACGTAGACATAAGTAGTCAGATTAAACGGCCATTCAAAATAAAAACGTGTCGTGTAAACACTCCCCATTCGGATTATTCTTTGTTCATTCAGCTCAATCCGAAAGAATTTGTAATCTGAATGAGACGGGTGGTTTATGCCGATACATAATCCGAACGGTGCGCTTGTAAACACTTAATCTGTTCTTTTATTTATTTTTTTCCAATTGTGGAAAACTGACCTGACTGCGCATGTGCGACTTAGTCTACCGCACGTATTTCCGCCTGGCTAATGCTAATAGTATTAGCATGTTGGGGAAGTAAAACTGGTCGGTGAGCGACGCAGTTCATCTAGAAACTTTGACAGAGCTCAATCTGTATGACCTGCAGCTCAGTCAGGGAGTGCAGTAACGTCTCCAGCGTCATTAAAACCTGTCGCGGGTCCACTTTGGGCGCTCGGGTTTGTTTACGTTCATCCCGGAAGTTGAACTTCTTCTGTATTTTTCAAAGGAGAGTTTACCGAACGGATCGTTCCCAAGTAAACAATGCATTTGAATTATTTAATCTGAAATCATTTCAGTCCGGTCAAATAATTTTGTGCGTGTAAACGTAGCTATAGTGGGTCAACCAGCTGTGGCTCCTCGGACTGATGACGTCTTTGAGATGAAACGTTTCAACCAAAAGAAACCGTCCAGAGGACCTGACTTCACTTTGTTGGATTTTTCTACCTGGATTATCGAGCACGAATCAGAATACGAGGTAAAATTATTCAAAAATCTTTAGAAGAGGTGGAGTTGTTTGCTTTAACTAGTTTTGTTTCATGTAAATGTCAAAACCTGACAGAATCTGGCTTCAACTTAACATCTAAAAGTTGTTTTCCCGTATTTTCTGGTGTATAAGTTGCAGTTTTTTTGCATAGATTCGTCAGTCCTGCGATTTATATGCCGACGCGACTTATATACGCGTTTTATTTTTTTCCATGTTCATAACACAATTTTTGACTGACGCTTTAAATTTCAAAGAACTGCAACAGCGAGTCCTCCCGTGCTCGCTTCACTCAGCTGGTGCAGGCGGAGGAACGCTGGAGAGCTAGCGATGGATGGATGGCGCCTCGCCGCCCAGGAGAAATGAAGCTGAGCATTAAATAAACGTGACGGGTCAGCGGTGACGCATAATAAATGCGACTTATACGCCGAAAAATCTGGGTAGACACGTCTCCTAACAATCCCGTTTCCTCCTTTAATAAACAGAAAACTGTTTGAGTGACCTGTGGATTGAGATCTGTAGATTTATGAGATTATTTAAAAACGACAAAAAAAATTCTGACGTCGTTCTGCAACTTAAGCTCATAACATAAAACCTGAAAGTGATGTCAGAACGCTGCTTTGCCTCAGACGTAAATCACACATCGTTTAAATTTAGTTAAACCTTCATTTATTTATTTACATTTTCAGATAAAATACTGTATAGCATGAGAAATAATTAAAAAAAAGTTTTGTATTGATTTCTTTTTAGGACATTTTGGTGCTTTTTTCCTCCTTGTTATAAGTTTGTCAGAGGAAAAAGCACATTTTTTTATCCGACCCCTTCAGCTTTATGTTTTATGAATCGACTGTTTATTCCTCCTTGTGTTTGAGGATAAAACCTGACGTGCTTTTTGGTTTTAGTGCTGCATCAAACACGGATCGGTCTCACTTCTGTTGCTGACAAGAGGACGTTCTGTTACCAGCTGACTTATCAAACGGATGATGTATTGATCAGTCTTTTCAGTGCTTCAGAGATCTGATCTCTGCTGATCGGGCACAGCCTCCTCCTCTTCCTCCTGCTGTGTGTCAGCAACTTCCTCCTCTCCTCTTTAAAAGGCCTGTTGTCTCTCAGCTCCTCCGTACAGTGTCTCCCAAATTCCTTCACAGAAACAAACTCTGTTTATTGTAATTTTTCAGGGTCAGGAGCTCTTAGACGATTTATTTTGTTTGCTCTGTTTCGAAAAAGATGAACAGTTGTTCTAAAATCAGCTTTAAAATACCCAAACTGGCTGTTTCACCGTAACTCTCAACGTTTGTAATGCAACGATTCCTTGATCAGGTAGACAAATATTTCATATTTTACTGTTAACCTTTAAAAAAAATCTCTGAATCAGTCAAATATAGAGCTGTGTCGTCTTGGTAATCTGTCAGAGTTGTTCAACTTATTTTGACCTGAATGTATTTAGGCATTAAAGATGATTAAACTAAAATCATTAGGAGATAAAAGCAGTAAAATACATTATTGATGAAAATGGCTCAAATTTGAGGAAAAAAAACAACAAACCAATTTGAATTTCAAAAATTATAAATCATCTGTAATAATTTTTTTATTTGTCTCAGTTCTTTCAATGTTTTTGTTTTTAATATAAATTTTCTTTACTGGCACGAAATCACTCGCGTCAAAAATAATTAGTTCATCAGATCCTCTGGATGGATTCTTCTTTGTTGAAACGTTTTATCTTTTAACCAAAGGACTTCTTCAGTCTGAAAACTCAATCTTATAAACAGCACCTTCTCATAGTGGACCAACCAGTCTGCTGCTGACATCCAGAACTAGCTGTTCACATGTAAAAGGAGGACCATCAACCCAGCGATTGATTGTAGCGCCCTGATGGCCGCTTGCTATTCGCAGGGGGCTGAGTGATACTAGCAATAACAGCATTGGAAGGGGGGGACAGTTGAACATGGAGACCTCCGCCCCGTTTGGAAGTGGTTACAAGAAGAAGTTGATAGTAGTCCTGTCACGATAACAAATTTTGCTGTGCGATTGTCTCAGAATTTATTGCGATAAACGATATTATTATTTGACAATAATTAGTAATTATCAAATTTAAGAAGAAATGTTAATTAATTTGTTTTGCGTGTAGTAACTTCTTTTGACCACTGGATGGCAGTGTAAGACTGTTTAAACCAAAGGATGGATAGTGAGAGAGCGAGCAGCGTGTCTTTAAGAAAAATGGGAGGGAGGCCTCTTGACATGACATGGGCTGTCTCTCCTTCCTGTTTTTCTGTTCTCAAAATGGTGGACCCTCGGTGTGATTTGAGCTCTTTAGCATTTTTCACACAAAGCTTTTAATAAAAAATCAGTAAACAAGTTCTCAGCTTCTTTTTGTTTAGAAAAACAACTTTTTACACGAAGGCTGGGTTTCAACCGTGAAATTTGGAGCTTCGACAAGACGGAGGTTTGTTCCCCGAGGTCGGCCTGTTAGCTTAGTCGTAGCTTAGCTTCTCAGCTTAGCAGCTTTTAATGATCCAAAAATGTGATTTTGGATCGTTAAAACATATTTTAAAGAGAAAGGGAGGGGTCAGTGAAGAACACTGGAGTTGAGCCTTTTGTCGTCCAGTGTCTTCAGTAGAAAGAGAGACGAAGGAACGATAAAGCCGATAAATGAAAATGAGGTTTCATTTATCATGCGGTTAATTGATTTATTATTTATCGCGACAGGCCTAGTTGATAGAGTGGCTCTGCTTCATTTATAAACCTTGACATTCGTATCCCGTGAAGCTGATTGGTTTTGAGGACGAGTCGATGTGGAAAGGTAACCAAAGGTTCACCAAGAAGCAGAGTGGTCAGCTGATTTGGAGTTGGATCATTGACGGATCACATGACTGACGTGACGCTCGAGCTCTTTGTGCTGCTCGTGAGGCTTCGTTCACACAGTTCTTCAACAAACGCTGAAGTTCCTGTGTTGCTTCCTCGAGTCTCAACCTTTGGGGCGACGGTCCCTCGGAGTGCATCACACTCACGCTTGATGTTCTTAGAATAAAATCCCAAACCTTCGAGAGAAGAGAACTGTTCTGTTTGTTAAACATCAGGAAACGTAAATACGAACAAACAGAGTAACATTATCATTTTCTACAGCTGATCAGTAAAACTGACTGTCCAGGGATGTGTTAAGTCGGTTTTGTGTCAGTAAGATCACAATTTTCAGGAACTCTAACCAAACGCCTGTAGATGTGATGCAGAGTTAAAAAAAAGGGACACATCGATGCTTCCTAATCCTTCCTCTGTTATTAATTTACTTCCAGAAACTTGCTGCATGTTTCATTTTTTAAATTTTTAATCTCCATCTGGAACCTGAAAAAGTTCACTGAGCTCAGCTTTATGAGAGCAGCCCGCACCACTCCAGCTCCTCCACCCTGCTGAGGTGCCGTCTGTCCGGTGCTGATTCAGCACAAGGGTCTGTTTCGTTTCCATAAAGCTTTAAAAAGCTGTCCGCAGGTATTTTGGGCCCAGTCTGCTTCAGGTTAGCACTCTGTTCTTTGGGTGGTTGCACCTCTAGATTATTGTGTCACAGGATGATTATTGCTCCTGGGACTTTTACATTTTAGGACAGAACTTTTTCTTTCTTTGCTTATTTTTACAAAATCTTCCCAACTATTTGTTCTTCATTTATCTTGTAATGGTCAGTGGAAGCACTTGGAGAGATTTCTAGATAGGTCCTAAATCCTGGTCTTCAGGATCCACAGTCCTGCATGTTTGAGATGTTTCCTGCTGTTTCAGATGAACTATTGACACCCAGGAGCAGCTGATCAGCTGCTCTTGACAAAGTGCATCATCTGAATAAAACCTGAAAAAGCTTTTTAAATGGAAGTTTTTACCATTTGATCAGTTTATAGGATAGTTTTTATGTATTCTAAGATAATAAACAACTAAAAGTTATGCATAAATGCCACCTTAAAAGGACTGAAAGTGGTAAAGATTTATACATTTAAAAACAAGTAAATAAAAATACAGCGATCCAGAATACTCGCTGATGATGTCTAGTTTGTATTTTCACTATTGTATTTTTCAGATTATAAGGCGCATTAAGCAAAACTAAAACATTTTGACAGATTTTTGAGCGCCGTGTACAACATAAAGTCAGTTGGAGGTCAGTAAGCACAACCAGAATAATACACAAGGTGCACCGGATTATACGGCTGGTTTTTGAGAAAATTCAAGGATTTTACGTGCGCCTGCCTTATAGTCCGAAAAATACCGTACAAAAATTAAGAGTAGGTGTAATAACTTAGTTCTTTTCACGTGATTTTTAAAAACAAATAAACAGTTCTTAATTGTTATGTACTGGTAGTTAATCTTTATTTTATGCAGATATATTTTTAAGATATTTTCAATCGCAAGTTAGAGCTTTTTTCATTCTAATCTGGTACTAAATTTGCTTTTTGATCATTCCGCGAAAGAAAAAGTTTATTTACTGCTAAATAATTTTTAAAAGTCTGTGCTACAAAACAACCAGCTTCAATGAGAACGTGTTTGTAGATCATTTTGTGGTTTAATAACTCCTTTTTTGTAGTCTCTTATCAGGGTTCAAAGGTCACGCATGCATAAACACAAAACTGTTCTGTCTAAATTGTCAAATATTCCGTTTGTTTTGTCATATGGGGAATTTAACAAACATAAACTGAACATTAGAGTAATAATAATATATGATGCTGGACAGGGAAACGTTTCTGATTCTGTTTCTTTTGTCTGTTGGTTGAAGCAACATCAGCTCACACGTTTACAGACGTCAAAGTTTCATTTCTGGCCTGCTGGGAGTTTGTTTTTAACTCCCCACGTCTTCAACCCAGTCAGGACCTTCCCATGCACAACGTTCCTCACTGCAGTCTGTTTTTATTTTTGTAAATATTGAGATGATTAACGAAGGCTCTGTACCGACTCTGTGGTTAAAATAAACTCCGTAGACTCGGGAGGTTGGAAGGTTAAAGAAGGGGAAAGCTTTATGTTTGCTGTAAACATTAAAAGTCTTAAATTGGATGTTTTTTTAATGTATGCAGCATTAAATTACTGGTAGATTGATTTTTTTATTTTAATCCAGGATTGATAACGAACTCAAAGCATGGGAAGAGAAATAACGAACTTTAAAAGGCAAACTTATTTACCTTTTTCCATCTTGGTTTCTCACCATCGGAACAGAAACGACCACGTTCTGAGTGATTCTGCCTTCACTGTCGACATCCTTGAGTCTGTTTGGGAGAGTGTACAGCCACGGTCCACGTGGATATTGACCCTGGTTTCTTTGTGCAGGTGACTTGTCGCTGCAGAGGCTCACTGGTTCTGTTCTCGATTACAACAGCACAGTACAATGTCCCGGAAGCAGCAACAACATTCAGTCCAGCATCAGCTTCCAGTGCGGGAAGACCATGGTAAGACTCGACCTCGATAAATCTCTTCTGTAGGGTGGCTCAGAACATTTCTGTGAGTGAGACGGATGGTGATGTTAACGAAAACAGCGAAGTTAATGTTGTATATTATTATTTACTTTTACTGGCTGACGCAGCAGCTGCTTGTGTGCTAACTAGGCCTGTCACGATAAATAACACTAATTAATTGTATGATAAATGAAAATGATCAACCTCATTTTAATTGATCGGCTGTATCGTTTCTTCGTGCCTCTCTCCTTCTGAAGACGCTGGATGACAAAAGGCTCAACTCCGGTGCTCTTCGCTGACCCTCCCCTCTTTCTTGTCTCTTTAAAATCAGTTTTAACCGTCCAAAATTGCGTTTTTGGATCGTTAAAAGCAGCTAAGCAACGAGCTAAGCTAACAGGCCGACCTCGAGGAAAAACCTCAGTTTTGTCGAAGTTCCAACATTCACGGTTGAAGCAGCTGAGAACTTGTTTACTGATTTTTTTTTAAATTAAAAGCTTTGTGTGAAAAATGCTACGCTAAAGAGCTCAAACCACACCAAGTGTCCGCCATTTTGAGAACCGAAAAAAGGAAGACGAGACAGCCCATGTCACGTCAAGGGGCCTCCTTACCATTTTTCTTAAAGAGACACGCTGCTCGCTCCCTCACTAGCCATCCTTCGGTTCAGTCTTATATTGCCATCCAGTGGTCAAAGAAGGTACTACACACAAAAATTAACCAACATTTCTTCTTAAATTTGACAATAATTACTAATTATTGTCAAATTTCAAACAATATTATCGTTTATTGCAATAATTGCTGAGACAATTAATCGCCCAGCAAAATTAGTTATCGTCACAGGCCCAATGCTAACTGGTTAGTTATGGTGTGTTTTTGTCAATTAGAGTAAATGTGTTGGGAGAACTGTGAGTGTGCAAGGAGCAGAAGATACAAAGGTGCAGGACTCAAGGGCTCAGCATATCTGAAGCCCAACAGTCGACTCGCAGTCACGTGGTTACATGATGTTCGTTTTCACCCACACCTTTCATAGTGCACGAGACACACGGTGCAGAGCTCTTTGGAAACTCCTCCACCTGCAGTATACATTACCGCACTGGTTTCTTCCTGCCAGAGTTTCCACGCCATCACTGCAGCCGTCCTTTGACCACAAACGCATCATGAATAGAGCGCCACACTTTTCAGCAGACGGACTCCTCCATACACGATGTCTGCACGATCTCCATCCAGGAGTTTTTGGACTTTTGTCTAATTTAGTGTGTTTCAAGACTTGAACAGCTGAATGTCTGAGCACATTTCCGCATTGACGAACACGCCCACAAACTTCTGACCAATCACACAATACTCGGTAACTTGGTCATACACCCTGTGAGATAAAGTTTGTCCCGGGCCTTGTGTTGAGAAGGGGCGGGCGAAGCTGCTCTGAGAACAAGATGGAACAATTTTTATCACACAACTATTTCTATGAGAGCTGATTTCACCACTTGGGATGGAGTGTGCAGAACCCTTTAGGGTCCACTGTCCAGGAAAACGGGGAGTGTGGTAAAGAGGTGAACAAACATCTTAACACTAGTTGTGTCTGGGTAGAGCTGATCTCAGTTACCAGCAATACGTGCAAATAAACATGCAGCCACAGCACACGGCGGGCTGTCAACAGGTCTGCTGATGTTTCTGTGAACATTACAACACATCCAGACATCAGAACTATGAGGCTGTCACTTTTGGTTCGGAGCCGGCCGAGTCCTATTTTTGTGGAATTATCCAAACAAATTAAAGGAGCATAAAATAATTAGTGACTTTACAAACATCTGTGTTAGACTAAAGGCCAAATGTTTTATCTCATAGGGCTCTAAAACGCAACACTTTAACGCAGTGGACTAGCCTCTTGTTTTATACACTGCTTGACTGAACGTAACCTCACTGTTGTGTTTAATTAGATTAATACAAAGCAGCCTAAAGGCCCCCACATACTTGGGCGTACTTCACTCCACGGAGGTCCGCACGTACTCGAGGTGGACCCAATGCGGACGTCCACCGGTCATGTCCGCGTAAAGATCAATTTCTACGTACACATACTTGGTGTTGCACAATAAACTGCCCGGTGACGGACTGTTTTGTATGCGACACCAGCCGTTCTCTGTGCAGTCGTAAGGATGCGCAGCGTGACTGCCCCTCTCTGTGCAGCCCTGACAGGTGTGCGGAGGCTGCCCTGGTGGTGAAGAAACGGGGCTAAGCGTCCAACTGGCTCATCAAACTTTCTAGAATCCATTGGAAAATATTCAAAATGTTTCTCGCTGTCCATCATCTTCATGTCCTTCACCAGTGTATTAAATTCAAATTCAAATATACTTTATTAATCCCAAAGGGAAATTATTTGTTGTTGTAACTCGTTATCCTCATTTCATTAAGAGATGTTAAAGATGCTGATGGCTGTAGAGAGGAAGGATCTCCTGTACCTTCTTAATTCCTGGTCTGGTTTAATGGCCTTTACTTTTGTTTTGTGGGCTGCAGGGCCTGGTTTATTTTTAGAACTTTTTTATCAACAGCATATTCATTCAACTTTATTTATACAGGTTAATCCCATTGAGCCTCGGGGACTCATTTACAAGAGAGACCTGAACAAAGAATGATGACAATAATGGACAATTATAAAAGAGGCATACAAATTTATTTATTTTGTTGGCAAATTAAAATAAAATGTCAAACAAAAGGACAGTCAAAAGGAAAAAGTAGCGAAAAGTACAACTAGATTATAAAGGCGGTGTAGAAAACTAAAACCAGGAAAATGTCTGCGTTGGTTCTTGCCAGGAACTTAACAGATGTTTGAAGCCACTTCGAGGTCAAGGTCGAGAGCTTCAAATCTTTTTACAAGATATTTCAGGAAACAGGGGCAGAAGGCCCTTTAGCCAAGTTCAGTCCTCACTGAGGGAACACTGCAGGTAATAATGTCCTGAGAGCGCACGCTGTAGCTGCACTCACACAGAGACATGTAGGAGGAGATGTATGAAGGCAGCAGACCAAGAAGTGATTTAAAGATGAAAATGTACCAGTGGGAGAGTCTGCGTGAAGTTAATGATGTCCAGTTAACCAGTGAATACTGGGTGCAGTGGTGGGTACGATAATCACAGCCAGTTCTGAATCTTAGTGCACCATGATAGACAGCATCCAACATCTGCAGCATCCAACATCTGCAGGGTTCTTGTAGGAGCGTTCATGTAAATAATGTCACCGTAATCAATGGAGGGAAGGAAAGTCACAGCTACAAGGTGTTTCCTAACATTCAGAGTTAGACAGGATCTGTTTCTGAAAAAGAAACCCAGTTTAACTTTCAGTTTCTTTACCAAGTTTTCCACGTGGAGCTTAAAAGAGAGATGCGAGTCGACCAAGATACCCAAATATTTATAGGAATCAACAAACTCAATGGGGACACCATTTGAGGATGAAATCGGAGGAAGAACTGCTGCTAACATTTCCAGAGGTTCTCGTGTAAACAGGGCCTTGTGTCAGGTAGATCACTTTGACTTGGTCATTTTAAAAGGAGCGCCATGATGAAAAAGTTTGGACACTCCTGCATTAAACTATTTGTCAGCTGTGGCAGACTGGTTTGGGCAGTCGCCCTCCAACAACAGAGATGGAGGGTTGATTCAACCAGTACGCAGCCACATGTCGGTGTCCCTGACAAGACGCTGAATCTCTCATTGCCTCCGATGAGCCTCATCAGTGTATGGATGTGACATAAAGCACTGATCAGTCTCTATAGAAACATTTATTCTGTTTATCTCTGTATGAATGTGTTGGAGGTAAAGGAGTGCACTGATTGTGTTGTGAAGAGCTTTGAGTAGCCTCGTTGGCTTGACAGGTGCTTGTAAGTACATTTCATTTATCATTTCTTATGTAGAGCAGGAATGATCTGTGTAAAATACTAAACTGTTTAGTTTTGTCTGTTTTTGATCATTTTTTATCGTGAGTGCAAAAGGTAATACTGGTAAATATCCCCAAACCTTTCTTTAAAGTTGGCAGATTTTAATACAATTCTGAAGCTTAATTTAACTATAAGCAAAAACCTGTCATTTAAAACGCCTGCTGCAGAGGTGCAAAACAAATATTCTGCTTGATCGTGAGCTAAAAATAACGCTGGTATGGTATACAAGCTGAACATTCATTTGAAAAGTGGCTGAAGGAAACGGCACCCTGCTGTCTGTGTTTGAACGGTTTGCACTTGCAATAAATATAAAAAAGGTGCCGGGTTTAAAGTTATGTTTTGTTTTATTACTAAGAGTGACTCACTGGAATAAACACGGAACACCTGGATAATGTTTATATTTGACATCAGCTGTCTTTGTGTCCTTTAATGAACATAATGTAACGATGATCTTCAGCTCGTGGATTTCTGATCACTTCGGAGCGAGCGTGTGTTTCAGTGGTTTCACGATGAGCCGGCTGTTGGTTTCACATTAACGTGTCATTTCCTGTTGAGTCACGAGGTCTTTTATCTTTCAGACGAACAATGACGTCTGAAACAAATGCTATAGATCATCTATTGTTTCTGAGCTCAGCTGAACTTGTTTCATTTTTAGAAGATCACAGTAAATTAAATGTTGATTAATGTTTTTATTGTTGGAGTGGTTGATTGAACTCTTAATGTTTTTTTTTTTTTAAATGGAAAAATAAGATTAAATTGAAGACTGTTTCCACACCAGCAGTTTGGTTTCTGTATTTTCAGTTAAACATTTTCGTTCAACTTCTGTAAATATGAGAGGAGTTCACTTTTTGATGCTAAAATTAACACTTAAAAAAAAATCCTTCTTGTGCTCATTTGCTTTTCTGGACCTGAACATAAGCCTTGCACTTGTAGATAAGCCGCGGGTGTTCACATTGTAACATGAGATATTTACACAGAAAGATAAAAAAAACCCTTTTAATTAAATATGTACTGGTAACACGCACAAATACAGTAATTTATTATTATTTTTTTCTGAACAGTGCCTGTAACACAGCTGATAAAAATAAAATAAAATACAGTAGTCTACCAGGAAGTCACTGATCGCTACCCCTCAATAGAGACGTGTATTGGGCAGCAATGTGAGCGCCTGGGTGCGATGAAGCTAAATGTTTTGGTGGCGTGAAGCTCGTTAGCCAATCAAAAAATAATCCATAGATTAGCCGCAGCAATGTATAAGCTGCGGTGTTCAAAATGTGTGAATAAAGTAGCGGCTTGTAGTCTGGAAATTACGAGGTGAATACCTTTTTTTTTTTAATAACCTTGTAAGTAGGCCTGTCACAATAACAAATTTTGCTGGGCGATTAATTGTTTCAGAAATTATTGCGATAAACAATATTGTTTGAAATTTGACAATAATTCTAAATTATTGTCAAATTTAAAAAGAAACGTTGGGTAATTTGTTTTGAGTGTAGTACCTTTTATTGACCACCGAATGGCAGTATAAGACTGTTTGAACCCAAAGATGGATAGCGAGGGAGCGAGCAGCGTGTCTCTTTAAAAAAAATGAGAGGAAGGCCCTTTGACGTGACATGAGCTGTCCCTCTTCGGTTCTCAAAATGGTGGACGCTCGGTGTGATTTGAGCCCTTTAGCATAGCATTTGTCACGCAAAGCTTTAATAAAAAAAAAAATCGGTAAACAAAAATTCTCAGCTTCTTTTTGCAGAGAAAAACAACTTTTTACACCAAGGCACGGGTTTCAACTGCAAATTTTTGAGCTTCGACAAGACGGAGGTTTTTTTTCCCCAAGGTCGGTCTGTTATCTTAGCTCGTAGCTTAGCTTCTCAGCTGCTTTTAAATGTCCAAAAATGTGGTTTTGGATCGTTAAAACAGATTTTAAAGAGAAAGGGAGGGGTCAGTGAAGAGCACCTGAGTTGAGCCTCTTGTCATCCAGTGTCTTCAGTAGAAAGAGAAAGACAAAGAAATGATAAGGCCGATAAATTAAAATGAGGTTAATAATTTTAATTTATCATGCGATTATTGATTTATTGTTTATCGCGACAGGCCTACTGGTAAGACACTTGAGATTCAAAACCTGGCCAAGTGCGACGCACTCGTACAGAAAAAGTTTGCACATGTAAAACCTAAAAGGAGTCCGACGATACGCCGTTTGTATTTAATTCATGCTGTGAGACGGGTTCCTTCAGATTCAGCTGGTTTTTGATCTTATTCCACGTTTATAACAGAAAGTTCTGATGGATGTTTGAAAGGACGGCTGCTGTTTTGCACTTTGCTGCGTTGACATGGGGTTTAACTTTCCTGGTGTTTCTGTTGCAGGGAACCCCAGAGTTTGTCGCTCTGTCTCAGTGTGTGCATTACTTCGAGTGGAAGACCTACGCCGCCTGCAAGAGTGACAAGTTCAAGCCTCATAAAGAGGTAGGTGGTGAGGTTCAGGTGGGCGGCTGGCCTATAGGATTTTCAGAAGAACAAAGTAACACCTCATCTTTTACCGTCAGAGACGATCAGCCAGCTGACGAGCTTTCCGGTCCTACGACTCACCGCCGTGTCTGCGGCGCAGGGCAGGTCACATGGGCTCACAACGTTCCAGTCTGTGTGGAATAAATGAAAGAATGTGTGAAGCGTCGCTCGTTTAGCTTCACTTCTGTTCAGTCGTTTTTAACCCTTTACAAACCTGCCCCTCCAGGAATTTACAGACTGGTTTTGTGATTGTTGCAGCCGAAAATAGAGTTTTCAGAAAAATGCAAAATTTCTCTAGCTTTATTTGTCCAAGATGTCCAGAGCAAATCAGTTTACAAAAATCTCCATGCGACTGCTATAAGCAAAGAAAAGCAAAGTGATTTCTGATATTTGTATTTCTCTGTTCTACATTTATTTCGGCAGCTGTTAATGACGGAAACTTTTCACTGTCTGGTTTCTGTTTAAAGTGACACGAAACCGTTTTCTCCATTAAAAAGCGAACTCCTCCCTTACTGCTCATCGGCACCAATTCACCAATTCAACCAGCTTGACTTGAATTCACCCAGACGTTCTCGGGCACGTTTTCCAGTAGAACAGTGCATGTAGAGCGAAGCAGTGCTCCACCGCTTGCACAGCCTTCAGTCGTATTGTTCAACAGCAAATGTTATTTCCTTGCGTAGCCCTGCAGGCTGGGATTTCAGGAGGTGAAAATGGACGGACAGCAGTGGTGATTGGTCACGTGTGCAATGCTGAGCAGAACTGGTTGAAAGTAGAGTGAAGGAACCGATAAATGTTCCTTCTCTAATTGCTGCTTCTTGAATAAATGATCCATTTATCTGTGCAACACAGTAACTCCCCCCCCTCCGTCCAGGTGCCCTGTTTCGTGTTTGACTCTGACGGTAAGAAGCACGACCTGAACCCTCTGATAACTGACAGTGGTTATCTGGTGGACGACGGGAACGACGACGGCATCGACTTCTACATCAACATCTGCCGAAGTCTCAGCAAGTCCCAGAGCGAAGGTATTTCCATTTCTCTGTCGGAAGATAAATTTAGGTTATAATGCACAAAATGTTGAAATAAAAAATCAAAGTCCAGCTAATAATAATAAATACTTGTTTTTACTGAGCCTCATTTGTAAAATAGTGGTAGACAGGTAACCGTTTGGCCATTTCCATCTAAGGTCAGTGTTTTATTTATTTGTTTAGGATTTTAAAAGTAGATTTTGCCTTAAATTGCTTAGAGATCACATGTTCAAACATTTTATTGCCACACGTTCAAAGCCGTAGAAATGCAAACACTTTAATTTCAGCTGCTGGTTCTAAATGTAATAAAACAAAAGCAACACAAGCTACATTTCATCTTTAAAAGTTTTCATGAAACTGACTTGTTTCGACAAATTTAACTGGAGATTAAATGATTTGTTATACAATGAACATGTAAAATACAAAATCTTGTTTCTTTGGTAAATTAATTTATTTTGTTGTTGTTGTTGTTTATTTCAATTAACTCATCAATGTTTTTGGAGCATAAACACAATAAATCTCTTATTTTTGCCAAAATAACCTTTAGTTTGTTACATTTCTGATGAGTTGATTAATTTAGCTTCAATATTTATTCTGCTCTTGGTCGACTCCCACTTTTGGGGGTCATAGCTGCACGTTAAAGTGTTTGATCCGTCTCACCGTGACCTGTTACGATTTCTTTTGATTTATCTAAAGTTTTCATAATGATTCGTTCTCTCTCAGACAGTCCAGTTAAATCATGTCCAGATGGTTCTGCAGCCTGCCTCGTCACCAAACAAGGCTCCTTCAACATGGGCTCTCCGACCCGGCAGCTGGAGCTGGTGTCCAGTGACAGGTAACTGGTTTATCGGTCCAAACCTCCCCTTTATTATATGGCCAACTAGCAACTAAGCTAATAATCTCTCTCTCTCTATCTCTATCTATCTCTCTATCTATCTATCTATCTATCTATCTATCTATCTATCTATCTATCTATCTATCTATCTATCTATCTATCTATCTATCTATCTATCT